GCACTGAGCGCCAGGCACTCCGGTGACAATGGCATGGGGCGGCCGGGCACGATGGAGTGGCTGGGGACGATGGAGCAAAGCCAGCCCCGCGGATGGGGACGGCAGGGGATCGCTGCCTGGCCGGGATCAGCGTTGGAGGTGTGTGTGGGGGAGCCGCCACCGGCACTCGCCTTCCCGGGAACCGATTCTGCTGCTCTCAGCAGCTTTGGCAGGGACGGCTCCTTTGCAGCGGATGCCGGGAAGCGAGATGCGCCCGGGGCTGACAGCTGCCGCCTGGCCGGCAGCACACACGGCGCTTGCCCGCAGCGCCCCTGGGCTGACCGCGGGGCTGCGGGGCCCTCCGGAGACCCCCGGGGACCGGCGGGGTCCTGGACCTGCCCAGGCCCGCACAGCCCTGTCCTGAGAGCAGGGACCTGCTCTGAGGTAGACGTCTGGCCGGCTGGGCTGTGGGTGCAGCCCAGCTGGGAGGTGGGAGTCCCCGGATGGCTGGTGGGTGTATCCCGGAGGGGCGGCGGATGCCCCTGGCTGGGTGGTGGGCGCACAGCAGCTCCCCTCCGTCCGCCCCCCACCAAAAGCATCAGGCACAGCATGCACCCGGCACTGCCCAGCGGCCCGGCTCTGCCCAGCGAGATGCGCCCCGGCGAGCCGGCAGCGCTCCCAGCCAGCATGCCAGAGGCACCCCGGAGGGCAGGGAGGGGATGGCGGGGCAGATGGCCCCCGCCAGCCTCCCGGGGCCCGGCTGGGCTGCGAGATGCGGGTGGGCTGGCAGCGGGTGATGCTCCCTGCAGCGGGCCTGGATCCAGCCGGCCGCGACACCGGGTGCCCCGGGCAGCGCGAGCAGCCGGGGGTCCCAGCGGAGAGAGCGGCTCCCCTCCCCGACTCAACACAACCCCAGCCCGGCGGGGCAACCCCGGGCCGACACACCGCGACCCCCAGGGATGCGGCAGCCCGGGATCTTTGGGGAATCTGAGGGTAGCGGGAGCGGCGGGAGATGCTCGGTGCCCCCGCCGCTCCAGGCCTCGCTCCGCCGGGCAGCGGGACTGCCGCTGCCGGGATCCCGGCGGAGCCGCTCGGGAGCGGGGCCCCGATCCCCTCCCCATCCCCCGTTCCCCGGGCGCCCCTGCCCGCGGCTCCTGCTCCAGACAATGGCGAGGAACCGGTGCCGGGCCCAGCAGCGGGGAGCCCCACGGGGCCCTCCCCGCCGTGCGCGAATTGCCCCGCTCCCCGCTCTCGCTGCCCGGCCGGGGGTCGCGCCGGGCCGTGCCGGGGAGTCCCGGCGCTCGCACGTGCCGGCCCGGCGCAGACAAAGCGGGGACCGCGCCCCGGCCCGGTGCGGCGGGCAGGTGCGGGCACCGGGGGCGGCGAGCCGGGCACACCCCCCGCCGCCCCGCCCGCCTTTGTGTGCCGGGGCTCCCGGGGACGGCGGGGGGCGCAGCTCGGGGCGCGGCCGGTGTTACCGGGCGGCTCCGTGCACAAAGGGCGGCGGCGGCGGCGGGGACAAAGGGGCGGCGGCGGCGGCGGGCGCGCTCACCAGTCGGTGGGGCTGTCCTCGCCGATCACGTCCTGGTAGGAGGCGAGCAGCTCCAGGCGGTGCGCCGCGAAGCCGACGCCAGCCATGGCGGGGCCGGGATGCTGCCGGGGGACCGGAGGGACCGGCCGCCTGCCCGCCTCCGAGACACTGCCGCAGCGGCCGGGCGGAGGGGCGAGCGGCGCCGCCCCGCGCCGCCCCCGCGAGCAGCTCGCCCCCGGCATCCCGCAGCCTGGGCTCTGCTCGGCCCCCGCAACGCCGCGCCCCCCGCCCCAGGGACACCGAACCCCGGCTCGGCTCCTCCTGGGAGCCTGCACGCCGGGAGATTTCGCATCCCGGGCTCTCCTCCGCCCTGGGGACCCCGCATCCTGGGCTGCCCCTCTTGGGAACTTGCGCTCTGGAGACCTCTCGTGCTGGGTGGTCCTCTCCATTCCCGTATTGTCCCCTGCCCCACGTCCTCTACACCCAGGGGACGTGGCACGCCTGGCTGCCTGCGCCCTCCGCTGCCCTTCGCCGAGTCCCCGTGTCCAAGCTTTCCTCTCCAAGGACACGGCACCGTGGGCTTTGCCCTACACACCCCGCCATGGCCTCGCTGCTTGCGCAAGGGGTCAGTGGACAGACAGAGCCTTTTTGGGGGTCTCTTTGCTGCCCGTCTGCTCCTCTATCCCCACCATTCCCAAGCCCCCGGTCCTTTCAGAGCCCCCAAGCGCCTTTTCCAGGAGGTTTTGCCTCTGTGAGAGACCACAGCTGGTTTTGCACTGACCCGCGCAGGGCTCTGCAGGGGCTCCCAGCCAGGTTCTAATGCTCCTGCCAGCACAGGCAGCGATTCCCTGTCCCCGGCGCTGCCCCCAGCCCGGACCAGCACCGCTGGAGGGGTCTCTGTGCCAGGGCAGCGGGGAGCGCGCAGGGCCTGATTCCTGCAGGCTGGGGATGTTGTGGAGTGGCCCGTCCCAAGACAAGCCCTTCAGGCAGCCCGTGGGTGACCCCAGAGGGACACGGGACAGGGTGTCGCGGGCCCTGGCCGTGCCGCCCGCTCCCCCCACGCCCTCCTTACACCAGCATTTCCGAGCGAGGCCAGAGCCGGAGCCGCCCTAAGAGGCTCTGAGAGTTTGGGAGCAGCTGTGGAGCAGCTGCCGGGGCCAGCGCGGGGGCTGGGGCCGGGGCAGGCGCCCCACGAGCGGCTCAGATGGCTTTGGGGGTGGATGTGGTGGGACCCTGCTCAGGGATGTGGTGGGAGCTCTGAGCCTACCGCCGCCAGGCTTTGTTCTCGGAGCAGCGAGGCTGCAGCCCCTCCCCAGGCTCCACCTCCGCAGCCCACCCGAGACCCTCCTTCCGCTGCCTGTGCACAAGCTGCTCGCATGGTGCGCAGGGCTGGTGGGCAAGAGATGCCCTTGGCAAGGCTCAGAGGCACCTTGGGTGGCAGAGGCAGCATCAGCACAGCCCAGAGGCAACAGGGAACCAACCAGAGCCAAGCCCCCATGAGCACAGACCTTGCAGCGGCACAGGGGGATGCCGGGCTCGCCCCAGGGGGGAGGCGGGCTGGCTGTAGCACCCTGGCCCCGCTCCACAGCTGGGCACCCCGGGGCTGATCTGGCAGAACCTGTTCCCAGACCGTGCTCCCCCAGCAGGCTCCGTCCCGCACCACTGCCTGCCCCTGCCCCTTTCCCACCCTCCACTCACGGGTTGCTGTCCTGCCAGGCTACGGTTGGTTCTGGGGCTGCCCACGTGGGGCCACAGCCACCTCACCTTCCCCTGTGCTGCCTCTGACCTTGGCTGCCCAGCTGGGACTCACACACGGGCACTCTGCCCTGCTCCTGCCAGCCCTGCCAGGCAGGCACCAGCTGTTTCTGTCCCTTGTGGCACCCGTGTCCTGCTGCTTCTCAGTGTGACCATCCTGTTGCTGTCATGTGCCTCGGCCCCAGCCCCAGTCTGTCTTTATCCCTCGACTTCCTCACCCCACCTTTGATGTGCTTCTGCACTCCTGGAACTGGCAGTGAGAAGACGTGGCACCGCAGCCCAGATCTGGGTGATGCCAGGAGGCATTTGGCTTCCCACAGCCAGCTCCTGCCCCCCGGCAGAACCTTCCAGCAGATGAGCAAGACAATTTTCCTTACAATTGCTCATCATGGCAAGAGCTGCAATTATTAATGACCGTTCCAGCTGTCAGAGTGGAGAGGGAGGAGAACACCCACTTCCCCACACCCGCTGCCCTCGAGCCAGCTCCAGCTGGAGGTGCTGGTGTGGGCTCACGCCCGTCCTTGGGGACGGCAGCTGCGTTGTGTGAGCGAACGCTTGGCTGCTCCGCGCTGGAGAACGCCCAGAGCTGGTGCACGTGGCCCATGCGTGCCCCACGACCCCTCAACCCCTCTACAGTACTCAGGCACAATGACCAGACGACACTGCCAGGTATACAGGGACCCCACTAAGGTCTGACCCCTTCCCCATCTCCCCTTGCTGCATTTTGCCCCCCAGATTAATTACTGCCTCCATTAGCAGTCCTGCCTGCTACAACAGGGATGACCCAGTCAACACAAGGGGTCAAGCCTGGGTTGAGGCGGGCAGAGGAGAAGAAATCTGAGGTGAAGACTTTCCCTGGAAAGCTGGAAGGAGCTGAGTCAGGTCCCAGAGGGAGCGGGATGAGGGCAGAGCATGACCTTCCCAGCCGGCCGCACCTCACTCGGCAAAACCACTGGCCTGGAGACAGCCGGCACTTGCAGAGACGTGTTTATTAGAGGCACTAAAAGCACCGTGGCTGCATCAGCGCAGCCCGACCAGAGGGTGTGGCTTGGGGGGAGGCATCGGTGGCCCCAGGATGGCAGTGGCAGAGAGCTCTTTGGTAGGAAGCTGTGCCCAAGCCTTGCAGGAGCAGCCGCCTGGCTGGGCTGGCACCAGCACACGCTGCCAGCCCTCAGCTGGGCCACGCTGGGCTGGGGGTGATGCCAGCCCCAGGGAGGCCAGCAGGGTGGGGGGCAGGAGAGACAGACAGCCCCGGAATGCAAGCGGGGCAGGAAGGCACCGCAGCAGTTTGAGGGGGGCTGGGGGGTTGTCATGGGCAGGGCCCCAGGGCTGGGTCTCCAGCCCCAAGCACACAGCAGGGAAGGCTGGGGAGAGTGAGACAGGAGCTGGTCCTCACCCACTCAGGGAGGGATGTGTAAGGAGTATCCCTGCCCCAAGGGAAGGCTGGGGAGAGTGAGACAGGAGCTGGTCCTCACCCACTCAGGGAGGGATTTGCAAGGAGTATCCCTGCCCCAGCACTGAGCTGCCAGGCAGCAAGGGAGCAGCCCAGCTGTGGCACACCCTCTCCAATTCCAGCCTCAGCATGGCTGTACCCACCATGCTGCGTGCCTCAGGGGCAAGAGATCCATGCAGCATCCCATTCCCAGGGCTCCTAGGGCCATTTGAGAAGCATGTAAGAAACCACTCAGCTATAAAAGGCTCTGGACCCAGCACTGTACCTGGCTGGAGTTTAGCCAGGAGCTACCAGGAAAGAGGCAGGAGCAAGGGAAAGGGCCAAGGGCCCAGCCTGGCTCCCTGGGGCCAGCAGGGCAGGGGGAGAGGAGCATGCAGGGCCAGGGGCATGTGTGGGCACAGCTGAATTCCCACCCCTCACACATGGGAGAAAGCGTGGCTCTTGCACAGCGGCTTGTCCTTCTTGGAGTAGAACGTCTTCCCTTCCAGGTTGGTCTGGCAGATCTGGGGAGGAGAGTGCAAGTGGTCAGCTTGGGCTGAGTCAGCCTCTGGGTCCCCCACAGCCCAGCACTGGTGTCACACAGGCACCTCCACATGGCCAGGGACAGGAAGGTTCAGAGCAGAGTCCCAGTCTCCCAGAACGGAGGCAAATGGGAAAAAATCTTGTGGCAGCAGGTCTCCTGAGCTGCTGGTGTACCCCACCCAGAGCAGGACTGTCAGGGAGAGGCACAGGCCCTGCAACAGCCGGGGAGGGAGGCACAGTGCTCACCGCACAGACAAAGCAAGTGTCGTGCCAGCTGAACCCCAGCGCCTCCAGGAACCGGTCCCCAGCATCGATCTTGAAGTCACAGCCGCGGCACTTGGTGCCAAACATCTTCTCATAGTCTGTGGGGAAAGGCAGAGCCCAGGTCAGCACTTCCATGCACTACAGCCACTCATCCCAGGGGAGCAGGGATGAAAGCCAGGATCCCACAGGCACAGCCTGGGGACAGCTCTGCCAGCCCCCACCCAGGTGAGATAATGCCCCAGATACCCGGGAAAGGTGCAGGGTGGCTCGGCCACCATAGGGTTCCAGGGGGAGGAGAACCTCATCTCCCAGGATGCAGCACTTGCTTTGATATACATCCTCCCTCATTGCCATGGCAACATAGGAGCATGGCACTACCCTGCAGCTAGGGAGAACCAGGATGGAGGGCTCAGGGCTGTGGGATTGGGGTCTCCGTGCTCCCCACAGCCCAGGGGGAGCCCTGTGGAGCAGGGCAGCTCACGGCCCCAGCCCTGTGAGCAGCTGCTGAGTCCCAACAGCACCCCAGGGCCACATGAGGTGACACACGGGGTCCCTGGGTCCTACCTCTCTCGCAGTAGGGCTGTCCCTCCTCCATGTAGAAGGCTCGGTTGCGGATGGGAGTTTTGCAGGCGTTGCAGGTGAAGCACTGCACGTGCCAGGTCATCTTCAGTGCGTGCATCACCTCCTGGAGGGGAGACACCGTCAGCCAGGGGCAGGAAGGGACAAAGAATCCCCTGAGATGGACCAAGGTGGGAAGGAACAGAGCCAGGCACTGACAGCAGAGGACAAGGACAGGAGATGGAGGACAGCAGGCTGAGGGACACTCACCCCAGTGATCTTCTTCTTGCACTTGGCGCAGCTGGGTGCGTAGCGCGTGTCGTAGCACTTGGGGCAGAAGATGGAGCCCTTCTCCTCAAAGAAGCCACCCTCATCCAGCACCTTCCTGCACTGGCAGCAGATGAACTCCTCGGGGTGGTAATAATGTCCCAGCGCCACGAGGTACCGTCCCCTGTGGCAGGACAGAGCTGTGTCAGCCGCGCCGTGGCCCAGGACGCCGGCGTGGCAGCGGTGGCGGCCGGGGCTCACCTGATGACCTTGTTGCACTTGTAGCAGAGCGGGGTGCGGCCGGGCCCCTCGGGGGCCTGCTGGGCTGCCTGCACGATGGAGCTGCGGTTCTGCATGGGGGTCGGCGTGGCCGGCTGGCTGTGCTTGCTCACCACCGTGCTCGTCTTGTCCGGGGCGTAGCGCTCGGCAAACGAGGGGTCCACAGCCCAGGGCGGGCGGCTGGTGGGGCTGGGGGTGGCACTGGGGGTCCTGGGGGCTGCACACGCACACAGGTCTTAAGGGGAGTGTTTCTGATCCCTCAGCAGCCCCTCCCCAAAGAGCCCAGAGATGTTTTGCTCACCCAGTCCTGGCTCAGTCTTCATCGTTGCTCCTGGGGATGGGTCCGGCACGGAGACCTGGCTACAGAACAAGCAGTTAATCCAGCCTGCCCTGCTCACCCCACTGCCCAGGGGTGCAGGCAGGACTCCCCACCCCAACAAACAGGAGGGAGCTGGCCAAGCCCCCATGCCCAGCAGTAACTGGTTTAGTGATGAGGTACTGAGCCAAGGGCCTTCAGTCCTGCCAAGACACAGCATCCCCAGGGTGTCTGGTACCCACTGTGGTGGTCTGGGGAGAGGCAGGAGGGAAGGTTCTGGGCTTCTCCAGGGACCCCAGGGACCACACAGACTTTGGCTGCCTCCTATTATGTGATGATTACCCCCAGTCTCACTAGGGTGCAGGGCAACCTGGATGTGACCTGATGCAGGGAGCCTCAGAGTCCAGCTCAGCAGCACTGGGAACAGGCAGGGCAGGCAGGAGATGGCAACAAACCAAATTTTATTTGTGTCAGAGAAAACTGGGCAGAGCTGGTACCCAAGGGCCATGGCACCATGGCAGAAGGTGTCACAGAGAGGTAAAGGCAAAAAATGGGGTGCTGTCCACCCCCCTGCCTGGCTGCACAGAACAAGGAACAACCCTGACAAGCTGGTGACATCCACGAGCTCAGCTGCCCCACAGCCCCATGCCAGGCTTGCAGGACACTGTGCCCCAGGCCCAGATGCTGCCCAAACATCACAACAACCCAGTGAGATTTGGCCAGCGCCATCAGCCACTCCCAACCCACCATTTCTGGGGCACCACGGCGCAGCTCAGCATTCCCAGCTGAGGGGCAGCAATGCCCAAGGGGTTCTGCCCAGGACGTGCAGCCCCCCAGCTGCTGCTGCCACACACTCCCCTTACCTGGGCTTCCTAACAAACACATCATCATGATCCTCCACTGAGCGCAGCAGGAGAGAAAGGAGGAAACAGTCAGTCCTCACAGACCGAGGCCCAGGCACAAGAGGGGAAAGGGAAAAGAGGAAAACCAACCTCTCCTCCCACCAACCCCTGCCCCAAAACAAAGCCCTGCCCAGCCAGAGGGCAAATCAAGACCCCAGACCGGTGTCACCACCACGAGACCACGCACAGCCCCACCAGCTCCCACTGACACAGCCACCCCACAGGGATCACACGGGGCCAAAACCAACACTCCAGCACCACTCCAGATTCCGCCGGACCCTGGCAGCCCAGGGAGAGTCCAGCAGCCCCTGGCAGTGCCAGGCCTGTGGAAACTCACTCTCATCTGTGCCCGTCAGCTGGGCCAGCCTGCGGAAGGAGCGGGACTGCGAGGTCCCGGTGCGGGGCTGCCAGTCCTCAGCGTCCTCCATCAGTCGCAGCTTCCCGGGGTTGCACCCGGGGGTGCTGGGGGGCTCCAGAGGCTGTGGGGGCTGTCTGTGAGTGACAGAGGGCAGGAGCTCAGCCAGCACCAAGCACAGACCCTGCTCTGGAACAGGGAAGCACTCCAAAAGGTGCTCTGGCACATGGTAACACCTCTGCCAGACCCTGGCACTCACCGCTGCTCCACCGTGCCCCAGCTGGACCCGTGGGCATCCCTGTGGCATCGGAAAAAATGGTGGCACAGCAGTCAGTGCCTGATGCATGGCTCAGCCCATGCTTTCCATAGGCACCCACCATCTCAGAGATACAAGAACCTCATGGAAATGCCGACAGCATTCACTCCTGACCAGCCTTGCAGCCATTCCCTGACCCCACATGATATTGTGCCCCAGGTACGGTGCCTGCCCTGTGACTCCAAAAATGCCCAGCAAAGTGTTGTGTTACCAGCCATCCCTACTCATTGTGCTGCATATTAACCTCCCCAGCGAGGTGCCAGCAGTGCCCTGTGAGTCTTGCCTGCACACCCATCTGGGGACAAACTGTCTGGCCAGTGGGTGTCCAGGCAGGAACCTCCCAAGGTGAAGGTCAAAGCAGTGACTGAGCACTGGCAGTGCCTGTTGTGGGGTGAGCACAGGATGGGCTCTGCAGCTCCACCACCACCTCAGCTCTGGGAGAGGACAAAGAGGGAGAGAAGAATCCACAACAGGGCAAAGAGTTTGCCCAGAGTCACGAGAAGTAGTGATGCTGAGGGGAAGGAAAGGAGCCAGGAGCACTCACCCAGCTCTGCCACACCAGGCCCACAGGACAATGTGCCCCAGGTGCAGGCGTTACCCAGCACCTCCCAACATTCCACAGCCACGTTTTCCCAGTGCCATCAGCCTCCTCCACTTCTTGCCCAAAAGGCTAAGGTGCAGCTCAGCATTCCCAGCTCAGAGCCAGCAGTGCCCAGACACCTGGGACATGCAGCCTCAGCACATGCTCCCCTTACCTGGGCTTTTTAACAATCTCATCCTCACCGTCCTCCACTGAGTGCAGCAGGAGAGAAATAAGGAGACGGCATCAGTCTGTTGTGACTGATGCCCAGGAAAAGCAGGAAAGGAAAGGAGGAAAACCAACCTCCCCACGACCATCCCCTCGCCCCATCACACAGCCCTGCTTGGCCATGGGGCAGAGCTGCCCCAGACCAGCACCACCACGAGCCCACACACAGCCCCGGGCAGCCCCAGGCAGCTCCCCGACTTGGGGCCAAAATCAAACTGCTGATGCCACATCACCCCACTGCCTCTCCCAGCTTCTGGCTATGCCAAACAGTCCCACATCCCCAGGCAGTGCCAGGCCTGTGGGAACTCACTCTCATCTGTGCCCGTCAGCTGGGCCAGCCTGCGGAAGGAGCGGGACTGCGAGGTCCCGGTGCGGGGCTGCCAGCCCTCAGCGTCCTCCATCAGTCGCAGCTTCCCAGGGTCATACCCGGGGGTGCTGGGGGGCTCCAGAGGCTCCCTGTGAGTGACAGAGGGCAGGAGCTCAGCCAGCACAAAGCACAGACCCTGCCCAACACTGCAGCACAGGGCAGTGCTGCCAAAGGTGCCCTGGCACATGGCAACAACTCTGCCAGACCCTGGCACTCACCGCTGCTCCACTATGCCCCAGCTGGACCCGTGGGATTCCCTGTGACATCGGAAAAAACAGCAGCACAACAGTCAGTGTTTGACCATGCCTGCCATGTGCACCTGCAACCCCACGGAGGCACGAGCCACATGGAAATACTGATCAGCAGCCTTGCAGCTGCTCCACATGATGCAAAGCACCAAGACCAGTTGCTGCCCAGTACCTCCCAACATCTCCAGCAAGGTGTTGTGATTGTCACCAGCCACCCCTACCCAGGTGGGTACTTGGGGCAGGACCCTCCCGAGGTGAAGGTCAGAGCAGTGGCTGAGTGCTGGCAGTGCCCATTGTGCAGCTCTGAAAACACCTCAAGTCTGGGAGAGGGAACAGAGAGGAAGGGGAGAACCCCCAGCAGTGCAAAGAGCACCCCCAGAGTGACTGCAAGCAGCAAGGGTGAAGTGGCCGTGGGGGCTGAGCCTGGCAGGGGCACCTTGTGGCTCCTGCTGCTGCCCCTTACCTGGGCTTTTTAACGGGCTCATCCTCACCATCATCCACTGAGGACACCAGGAGAGAAAGGGGAGATGGAGTCAGTCTGTGGCAACTGAGGCAGGAAGACAGCAGGAAGGGAAAGGAAGGAAAAATGCCCTCTCCTCCCACAGTGCCCCTAACCCAACACACAGCCCTGCCTGGCCATGGGGCAGAGCACAGCTCCAGCCCAGCCACACCACCACGAGCCCACACAGCCCTGGGCAGCTCCTGCTGGTTCAGCTGCCACAGAGGGCACAAACGGGGCCACAACCAAAGCCCTGCTGTAACAACACACCACGGCCTTTACCAGCTGCCCCAGCAAAGCTGGGCACTCAGCCAGGCCCTGCAGGAACTCACTGCTGCTGGCGCCCACCATCCGGGCCAGCTTGCGGAAGGAGCGGGACTGGGAGGTCCAGGTGTGGGGCTTTGAGTCCACAATGTCCGCTAACATCTTCAGCTTCACTGGGTCACACACAGTGTCACTGGGGGGCTCCAGGGGCTGCGGGGGCTGCCTGTGAGTGACAGAGGGCAGGAGCTCAGCACCAGGATTGCACCCTGCTCTGAACAGGGAAGCATCCCCAAAGATACCCTGGCACATGCCAACACCTCTGCCAGACCCTGGCACTCACCGATGTTGCCCCGTGCCCCAGCTGGACCCATGGGCATCCCTGTGGTATCAGAAAGAATGGTGGCAGAGCAGTCAGTGTCTGACCAGCCCATCCCTCCCACTACACATCCACAGCCCCAGAGACGCACGAGCCTTGTGGAAATGCAGACAGCGTTCACTCCTGATCAGCCTTGCAGCCATTCCCTGGCTCCATAGGACATCGTGCCCCAATTCTGGTCTAGTTCCCTGCCCTGCAACTCCCGACACCCCCAGCAAGGTGCTGTCAGTGCCACCAGCCACCCCTGCCCACTGTGTCCAGCACACTGTGCTGCATCTTGGTCTGCCCAGCCTGGTGCCAGCAGTGCCAAGCAGGTCCTGCCTGCACACCCAGCATGAGGACACCTCATCTGGGCACAGCCTGCCTGGTAGGACCCCCCTGAGGTGACTGTCAGAGCAGTGGCTGAGCAGTGGCAGTGCCTGCTGTGGGGTGAGCCTGTGGCTCTGCCAACAGCTTGGCTCTAGGAAAAAGGAAAGGATGGGAGAGAGGGTGGAGGAAAAGGAGAGGAAAGAAGAAACAGCAACAGGGCAAAGAGCTTCCCCTGAGTGACTGCAAGCAGTGAGAGAGAACAAGCCTTGTGGGCTGGGCCCAGGGTGGGCACCTTGTGGCTCCTGCTGCTGCTCCAACACACGCTCCCCTTACCTGGGCTTTTTAATAAATTCATCCTCACCATCCTCCACTGAGTGCACCAGGAGAGAAAGGGGGAGATGGAGTCAGTCTGCAGCAACTAAGGTCCAGGAAAAGCAGCAAGGGAAAGGAGGAAACCAACCTCTCCGCTTGCCTGGCCCCATTGTACAGCCCTGTCTGGCCACAGGGCAGAGCACAACCCCAAACCAGCACCACGAGCTCACACAGAGCCCCGGGCAGATCTCACTGGCTCAGCTGCCCTCAGGGAGTTAACTGGGGCCAAAACCAACACTCCCGGGTGCTACATCACCCTTCTGCTCCTCCCAACTTCTGGTTACCCCGAAACAGTCCCACATCCCCAGGCAGTGCCAGGCCTGTGGGAACTCACTGCCATCTGTGCCCGTCAGCTGGGCCAGCTTGCGGAAGGAGCGGGACTGCGAGGTCCCGGTGCGGGGCTGCCAGTCCTCAGCATCCTCTAACATCCTCAACTTCCCAGGGTCACACCCGGGGGTGCTGGGGGGCTCCAGAGGCTGTGGGGGCTCCCTGTGAGTGACAGAGAGCAGGAACTCAGCCAGCACCAAGCACAGACCCTGCTTCAGCACAGGGCAGTGCTGCCAAATGTGCTCTCACCAGACCCTGGCACTCACCACTGCTCCACCGTGCCCCAGCTGGGCCCATGGGCATCCCTGGGATATTGAAAAGAATGGTAGCACAGCACTCAGTATTTGACCACAGCACAGCCCATCCCTCACAGATGCACTCCAGAACTAGGAGAAGTCAGAGACACTCACCCAGCTCTGCCCTGCCATCCTGCAGCCCACAGCAGGCTCACAGCACGCTGTCCAGCTGCTGCCTAGCACCTCCCAATACCCCCAGCAAGGTGTTCTCAGTGCACCAGCCTTCTCCAGATCCCTTTTCCTCAAGAAGCAATGGCAGAGCTTGGCCTCCCCAGCTTGGTGCCAGCAGTGCCCAGCAGGTCCTACCCAGCACAGACATCTTGTCTGGCTGGTGGGTGTCCCAGCAGGACCCTCCCGAGGTGATGGCCAGAGCAGTGGCTGAGCTCTGGCAGTGACCACTGTGAGGTGAGGACAGGGCGAGCTCTGCAGCTCCACCAACAGCTCGACTCTTGGAGAGGGAGAGAAAAAACAGCAACAGAGCAAAGAGCTTCCCCTGAGTGACTGCAAGCAGCAAGAGAGAACCAGGTGTGTGGGCTGAGCCTGGGGTGGGCACCTTGTGGCTCCTGCTGCTGCTCCAACACACGCTCCCCTTACCTGGGCTTTTTAACAAGCTCGTCCTCACCATCCTCCACTGAGCACAGCGGGAGAGAAAGGGGAGATGGAGTCAGTCTGTGGCAACTGAGGCCCAGAGACAGTAGGAAGGGAAAAGAAACAGGAAAGGGAAAAGGCCCTCTCCTCCCACTGCCCACCTGTCCCAACACACAGCCCTGGGGCACGGCCCCAGCCCAGCGGCACCACCACACAGCCCCAGGCAGCTCTGCCTGGCTTCACTGCCCCATAGGGCCAAAACCAACACTCCACCAGGCACCAAAGCCTTTATCCAGCTCCAGTTTCCCCAGCAAAGCTGGGCAGTCAGGCAGTGCCAGGCCCCCTGCGAACTCACTGGCGTCTGCGCCCACCAGGCGCGACAGTTTGCGGAAGGAACGGGACTGGGAGGTCCAGCTGTGGGGCTTGGAGTCATCAATGTCCTCTAACATCCGCAGCTTCACTGGGTCACACACTGGGGTGTTGGGGGACTCCAGCAGCTGTGGGGGCTGCCTGTGAGTGACAGAGTCATCTGTCAAATCTGACAGATCTCCCGGGGCTGTCCCCCACCTTCCCCAGCACAGAATCACAGCACACCAGTAGCAGAGATGTCACACCTTGTCTTATTCCCCACCCCAAATTCCTCCCTCACAAAGGCTGGGCCTCTGAAGGACTGACTCTGGAATGACCACACCATTCCTGGCAATTTGAAACTGGCCCCAAGGGCCAGAAAGAGAAAGGACAGAGCAAGAATAAGCCAAGGTCAAAAAACACCATCAGGGAAGCTGCACCACAGCCGTCTATGGCAGTGCCACCTGGCCATGGGCACGGCGCCCAGCACAGCCCACCAGCCCTTGCCCAGCACAGCCACATCTTGGGGAACAGGGAATGGATCACACACAAGGACACTCCAGGGCCCCAGCGTCTGGCAGAGACAGGCAGCTGTCCCCTCCACACTGGGGACAGCTTGGTGCCAGGAGTGACCCACCCACATGGGCAGAGCAGTGCCTGCTGCCCATCCCCAGGATGGCCCTGCCCTGAAGGACAGGGCACGGGCAGGCAAGGAAGAGGCATGCAGGGAGGATAGAGAGAGCAGGTAAAAGGCTTACTGACTTGTCAAGGCTCAGCACCTGTAGGGAGAGGGAAAGAGAAAGGGAGGAGAGAAAGAAAGAAAAAGGAAGGTGAAATTAGACCTACAGCACCCAAGAAGTTTCCAGAGCTCACCTATGGCCTGCATGAGCCCCCTATCCCTGACTCTCACACCCAGCTCACCCAGGGCTGAGAGCACACTGGGACACAGGGGCAGATGCCAGCAGACCAGACTGTGCTCCCTCAGCCCCCAGAACAGGCCTGGATGCCCAGGGAAGTCAATGCCACATCCTGCCCCATTGCCCAGTTCCTGGGCACTATGGCAGCTCTGGCAGGAGGAGCAGGGACCAGCAGCTGCTGCACACATGCAGCAGAGCTGGGGAACAGAGTGGCAGGGCTGGAGGCCATCACTCTGCCCAGCCCCTTCCTGCAGCCAGGGGAACAGCAGGACTTGCCCAGGCAGGCACCACCGTTTCCCTGCCACTCCTGCAGCCAGGGGAACAGCAGGACTTGCCCAGGCAGGCACCGGCCGGTGGTCACAGCCAGCCACCGTTTCCCTGCCAGTGCAGATGCCAGCCAGTGTCCTGCCACAGCCACCGTGCCAAGCCTGGCAGGAGCCCCCCCAGGCTGACACGTCCCTGAGCAAGGGGCCAGCACGAGCGTGGCTGCGTGTCCCCGTGTGACACAGAGACAGTTCTGCTGTGCCACCTCAGCACCAGCCGCCGGCTGCTCCGGCACAGGCACTGTCACCCGCTCCCACCCAGGGTGCCTGGCATGCAAGGCGCAGCAGGGCCGGGCAGCAGGCTGCCCCCGATCCTCAGGGAGCAGGATGGACAGCAACATACCCGTTGTGCTGGGGGGTGCAGGCGGGCGCCAGGGGCGCGTAGGTCACGGGTTTCGTCACCAGCCCGGGCCGTGGGTTCGGAGGTGAGCCGGCCCCGAAGGGCCGAGCTGTTTTGTTGAGGGCGGTGCTGGGAGCGAAGTTATATTTCAGGGGTTCAGAGCAGGGGAGTGAGTCCTGAGCGAGACAAAACACACAGACACGGGCTCACACGTCAAGCAGCATGCAAGGGGCAGCCCTGGGCCAGGCAGCGCAGCAGGCAGCCAGGGAGGAAAGCCGGACAGCACGTGCACCTTGGAGACCAGGCTCTGCCAGGCTGGCACTCGCTCCACTGGGCACCTGGCCCGGCGACAGCAGGTCACAAACCCAGCCTGAGGGTCACTTGGAGATTAGTAGGTGCCCCGGACACTCGCTGCTGCCCGTGGCAGGGCGGTGCATGCACACACGCCGACTGCAACCGCCCCACGGCACAAAGCTGAACACATGCAGGTGGCTGCTGCCCAGGAGCCACCAGTCATCAGCCCCAGCCCTGCCTCCCTGTGCCAGGGCACTCCCCAGCACTAGCAAACATGGTGCTGCACCTGCCCAGCCTCCTCCCCTGTGCTGGCCCCTCTGCATCCCTGCCCACACCCAGCGCCAGCAGGGGCACAGACGATCCGGGCCCAGGCACCTACTGTGCAGATCCCGCTCCCTCTGACCCTCCATGGTGCCAGAGGTCAGAGCTGCTCCTCCAGCTGGGCTTTCTAGACCTTCAAACACACCCTAGCCCCCTAAAAGCCCCAAGAGCAAAGTCCATTTGTTTCACTACGCTGAGATTCCCTTCCCCTGAGATGAGGCTGAGCTACCACTGCGGCACCAGGAGCCACACGTACCTTCTGCGGCTTCCCCAGCTGGTTCTGGGCTCTGCAAGAGAGGAGACAGATGGGCAGGTACTGGAGCTGGTCCAGACACCACCAGCATGCTGGTACCCCAGGGATGCAGCACCCAGCCGAGGGGAAACATGGCCAGCTGGCACTGCCCTGTGGCTTGCAGTCAGGTTAAGCCTTAACCAGGCAAGCAGAGCCCTTGGACACAGCCAGGGACTTCCAGGCTCTAAGTAAGGAGCAGAGATGCTGGGAGATGGTGATACCAGGAGGTGGCACTGGGGAGAGGGCGCTGAATACATTCCAGTCATACCAGAGCCCCATGTTTGAGGAACCCACGATTCCTACCTGCTCAAGGTGAGGCAGAGTCTGTCCCCGCAGGCACGGATCCTGTTCTGGGCCTCGATGTGTGTCATGGCACTGGTGCTCTCCCCGTCGATGTACAGCACCCAGTCGCCCACTCCCACGCCGGCCTGGGCTGCCTTCCCACCCAGAGTCAGCTGCAGGACAGACAGAGTTAGGGACAGCTGGAACAGCCAAGCAGTGACATGGGAGCAGAGGGACATCCTCGTGAGGGCAGGGGCCTTCCAAGGCCCAGGATCCCCAGCCCAGCACAGAACACCACACCGACCTGACCCAGGGGAAAGCAGGGACCCCCAGATTACTGCCCATTTCCCAGTGCATGAGCCCAGAGCAGCCTCTTCCCCTTGGCAGCAGCAGAAGGCAAAGCACTTCTCCAGGGCACTGCCCAGCCCTTGCCCTCTGGCACGCCTGGGGACCCTGCCAGCACCCCAGGGCCTCATCGCCGTGACACCAAACACAGAGGCAGTGCTGCCTCAGCCTCGAAGCCCAGCCACCCCCTGGGGTCATCCCTGTGGTCCGGGAGCAGGAAGAGAGCACAGTGAGTCAGGGCAGCCCACGTCTCACTGCAAACCACAGGCATGTCCAGCCCTTCGCCTGGGGCGGGGAAGGACAGGGGAGGCACCCCTTGGGCACTCCCCCCAGCCGCCCGCGCTCCCGGCCCGTTCCCACCAGGCACAGACATTACCTCATTCCCACAGAGGAGCAGGAGCCCTGCCGGGGCAGGGAGACACCCGCCCCCACCCATGTGGCCCTGCTGGGACAGCCGGGAGCACAGCCACAAGTCTCTCTTCCCTGCCACGGTGCCAGGGATGCTCCATGGCACAGCTGAATGTCAACCCCGTGCTGGGAAGTGGAGGCTGCCCTGCCCTCCCCTCCCACCAGGGATGCACAGCCAGAGGAGAGCAGGGCCCGGACTGCACACAGCTCCCAGGCACTGACAGACAGACAGACAGACGTGGGCAGGCTGCAGCCATTCCTGCTCCTCCAGCATGGAAGAACTCGAGGCGCTTGGACCCAGACCAAGTATTTCCTCAAGTCCTGTTAGACATGAACATAAAAGGAGCGAGCCAGATTCCCAGCGCTGTCAGAGGGCTGAAAAATCCCTGCCACAGAGTCCTGGCCCCTCCTTGCAGAACCCGGCTCACCCCAGAGCCACACATCCCTTCTCCAGGCCAACACCAGCCCTCCATGCAAGGCCAAACACCACACATGGACTGGATGTGGCCCAGTTCCACCTGCACCCCACTGCTATTCCCAGCAGGACATGGGTACCCCCACGCTGCCCTCCCATTCCCCCAGCCTGGCACAGGAGGGTGCCCTCAGCAGCAGTGATGCCCCCAGCTCCTGGCCATGCTGCTGCAAGCCCCAGCTTGCTGCCCTGGAGGGCTGGGGAAGGCACAGGGCAGCTGTGTGGGTTTGGAGGCAGGAGTTGGGAGAGGTTTTCACACGACTGACTGCCCAGGAAGGGGAGAGCACGTCAGGCTGCGTCACGAAGCCTCACCCAGCCTGGTCAGCACTTCCCGTCCCCCTCCATGCCAACGTGCAGGAAACCCCTCTGACAGGTGCCAGCTCAGCCGGGAGCCATGGCAGTGCCAGCCCTCCTGCTTCCCACCCAGACTGCTAACCAGGGCTTCCTTCCTCCCCTCTCCACCCAGTCTTTTGTTCTCTGCACCTCCATCACCACATCCAGAGAGGTGCTCACCTACTGCCCTGTCCAGAGGCCTCCAGGACAGAGCCTCCCTCAGTGCCTTCCCACCAGCAGCACCCAAGTGTCTCTCCTCTTTCCCATCTGGCAGATGCCAGGATGTGCCATACATCCAACTATCCAGACTGCAGTCTTTATCCCAGCTCCATCACAGGGACCATGGTTTGCAGCCTGTCTAGCCAGGGGGTCAGCACCCTAGCAGTGCCCCGTGCCACAGGAGGTACATGTCAGAGGGCCATGAGCTGAAACAGCCTCACTGCTCACCCAGGAGTGCCACAGCTGAAAGTCAAGCCAATGGACACACCAGCATTGTCCTGTGTTGCCCACCCCTGCAGACCTGCAGAGCAGGGCCCCACTGCAGCCCACAAAGCTGGGGCAGGATGCTTCCTTCCAGCTTGCTACGACAGGGCCAGCTCATGGGAAGCAGTGGCCACGGACAGCAGCATGCTCTGGATCTGGGAATGCTTCTGGAGTGCAGAGCAGCACAGGCTCACACCTTCCCATCAGAGCACACCGCCCTGCCATGCAGCCCAGCCTCACCAGAGAGCCCCCAAAGCTGGCTGCATCCCCTGGGAATGTCCCTGCTGCTCCTGCCCTGTCCAGGACACGGCAGCACTGCCCAAGCCTCACCAAGCACTGCTTCACGAGGCCCCTGCCCCAGGCTCTGGGAGGCTCCTCCATCCAACCAGACCCTTTGTTAAGAACTGGCTCGCAGCCAAGAGAAACATTTTTTAGAGAATAAACTCGCTGAATCTGTCTCTGCGTGCTCAGCAGAGATCAGCAGGCCCCAGGGCAGCGACACAGGCCACTCCAGCCTCACACGGTGCCCTCAGGGCCCGTGCTCCACGCTGGGATGCTGTGGAGATGTGTGCCCTCTGGGGCAGGTGTGCGGTGCCCGGCTCGTGCCAGGGGCAGGTCCCCACGCAGCACTCCATGCCACAAGCAAAGCTGTCCTTGGAGAAGCAGCCTGCGTGCCAGCTGCCCCGGCGCCAGCGGCACAGGCGATGCAGTCACATTCCAAGGCTTATAAGGCAATGGCGTGGCCAAAGCTGTGGCCAGCAGCCGCCCAGGGACGGGGACCTGCACACAGCCAGGGTCAAACCCGGGAGTATTGCAACGGGAGAGGCTCAAACCAGCGGCCACGGGCACAACCAGCTGTGGCACAATGGCTCTCGCTGGAGAAATGGGATTTTTGTGGAGGGAGTCACATCCCTGTGCAGGCGCCTCCTCTCCATGCCCATTTCAGGAGTGACCCCAGGCACAGAGCTGGGAGCTGTGCTGTGGAAAGGAGAGCAGAAGGACTCAGTGCTGGGATGCCAAGCCCAGCGCTGGGGTGCAGACCAGGAAGCCAGTCCCACATCTCAGAGAGCAGATCCCCTCCCGCTGTGGTGGGAACGCTCCGGAAGGGGCCTCCCCTGCCCCCCTCTGCAGAGGCTGTGCAGAATTTCACGTTCCTGCCTGCAGCTCTCTGCCCGGAACACCCCCGTGCTGGGCTGCAGCTGATAAGGGACCAAGGAGGCTACGTGGAGCCAGGCAGGGCAGGATGCAGCATTCCCGGGGCCCCAGCTCATCCACATCCCCCGTACGGCTCTGCCTCAGCCACTGCGGCCTCCCTCCCACAGAGGCAGGAGGAAGGATGGGTGTCACCAGCCTTGGTTTCTCTTACCCTGGAGATGGAGAGCGGCATGCTGAAATCCTTCCCTCCCTGCAGCCTGAAGCCCCAGGGTGCCGGCCCATTCAGCATCACCTTGTAGGACTCCATGTCGCCCATCTCTGCAAGGGAAAAGGGTGTGATCCCAGCGTTAGGGTATGTGGAAACAATGCAGGGAGAGCAGGCGAGGAGAGGGCTCGGTGCCTGGCAGGGTAGGACAGGAGGCAGGTCACGTTTCCAGCTGTAACTCCACCCTGGCCATCCTACACTGTGGTTAGAGACGCACCCCAAATCCATCAGCATCTCCTCCAGCAACGTCAGCGCTGAGGGGCCCAGGCTAACACTGACTAGTGCCAGGGAGCCAGGCACAGCCCTGCTGCCACCCACAGCGGAGTGTCTGTGGGCTCTACTCTCTTCCCAAACCTGGGATGTGCTCCCCTTTCCAGCACCCCAGGAACTTCTGGGAGCTGCTGAGAGCCAAGGCTGTTCAAACCACAGAGAAGCAACAGCAGGTACGGAGCGATAGGAACCAGCAGCATTTTTGCCGGATGAATTAGCAGCAGCAGCAGCACGGGAGCTGCGCGATGCCACCCGAGGCGCCTGGCAGCGCAGCCGGGCTGGCGCTCCGGCAGCCGGCCGAGCAGATGCTCCCTGGGAGCGAGCCCATCTCCGGGGCTCCGGCAGCAGGGAATCCCGGTGCTCCCCTGCCTGACAGCTGTCAGCCGGCCAAGGCTCCGGACAGACAGGCCAGCACTAGCCTCCCGTCACCTTTTACCTGCAAGAAGCCGCCAGACCCCCACGAACGGCCCCAGGCCCGTCCTGCCGCGGGCGGACAGGGCCGGCCGCGGGGCTCCCCGCGCCTCGCCCGGGCCGGCTGCAGGGCCGGGGGCCAGCGTGCCCCCGCTCTCCCCGGGCCGCTGCGGTCTATATAAGGCGTGTAAGACGACACCAGCCCGCTCCCCGCTCGGGAGGGCCGGGGGAAGAGCTGCGTGTCAGGCATTCCCGGCGCCCGGCAGCCGCGCAAGCCCCGGCGAGGCGCCGGGACGGGGCGGCCCGGAGCGGGCGGACACCCCCACCCCTCCCCGGTGGGACGGGCTCGGCTGCACCGGGGGTCCCCAGCGTGCACAGGCTGGGCAGCTCTGCTTATTGCTGGGAAGCGCCAGCCCGACCCGCGGGGGACTCGGGACCCCTCCCCATCCCACACCGCTGCCCCCCTCCAGGGGTCGGGGACGCCGGCTTTGCCCTGTACGGGCCCGACCCTCTACCCACCTTCCCCTTACGCCATGCCACAGGCCTCAGCCCTCCACCCCTCACGCCCCCATCCCCCGCGGCAGAGGACGGAGCCCCCGGCACGGCCTGGCTCCCCGCACTCACCCGCGGCCAGCGGGGCCCGGCCAAGCGGGCGGGAGCGGAGCGGTGCGGGCCGACGCGGGACTCGAACCCGGGCACCGCCCCCGCCCGGCCCGGCCCCACCATATATAGGATCGGGAGGGGGCGGAGCCAGCGGGGGCTTCGGCCAATCACCGCGCGCGCCTCTGCCTGCCGGGGCGGGCACGGCGGCGCCCCCTAGCGGCGAGGCTCGAGCTGCCCCGCCCGCCCCCCCCCCCCCCCCCGGGCAGCGGCGGGGGCGGGCCCGGGGAGCAGCGGGGGCTTCGGCCAATCACCGCGCGCGCCTCTGCCTGCCGGGGCGGGCACGGCGGCGCCCCCTAGCGGCGAGGCTCGAGCTACCCCGCCCGCCCCCCCCCGCTCCTCAGGGCAGCGGCGGAGCCGAGTCCGGGAAGGGCCTTTATTGACCGAACCGGCCGGCACCGGCCACATCAAGCCCAGTCCCGCGCTCCGGGGCTCTCCCGGCTCAGCAGCCGCACCAGCTTGGCCCGAAGGGTGCTGTGAGGCTTGTGCCCGGAGCGCCCCGACAGCGCCTGCTGCCCTCCGCGCCCCCAGCCCGCGGCGCGGGGCGTCTGTGCCATGGCGGCCCGGTTGTCATAGACCGGCCCCCCGTCACCGCTGTGGCCCTCGGGGGCCTGTCGGCGCCCCAGCTCCCACTGCCCTTCCTCCTCCTCTTCCTGGGCCCCGGCTGGATGTGGTTCTGCAGTGAAGATGTTCTCGTAGAGATGCTCAGGGAGCGGCTTCCCCACGGCCCAGGGCTCCCCAGAGCCTGGCTGCCCTGACACAAAGAGGGGCTGCTGGCCCCGGGCGATGGAGGCATAGACGATGGGGCATGAGGCCTCTGGCTCTGGTGGGGTGAAGCGGAGGAGGTTGGCAGGGGGGTGGGCGGCAGGCTGTGTGCCCCCCAGGGCTGGGCTGGGCTGGGGATCGTCGCTCCCAGACCCCCAGGGCTGGGGCTCAAGGCCCTGTGCAAAGAGCTGTGGGTCTGAGACACAGAAGAGTCTGGGGTCCAGGGTGTCCTTGCCCTGCTGCTGGCAGGCAATGGCAGCAGCCACAGCCCGGCAGAGCTCAGGGGCCCGTGGGGTGCTGAAGGTGAAGGTGCCCTCGCCAGAGTCACTGCGGCGGCCAGCCTCGAAGGAGAAGACAGCCTGCAGGGTCAGAGGGGAGAGTGAGGGGCTGCCACCCACCCTGGGCAGGCAACAGCCCCAAGAAGGGAGTGGGGCACTCACCTGGTCCTGGCCAAACTTGCGAAGGAAGGGGTAGGGCCAGGTGAGCAGGGGCTGGCGGGACTGGGGGTCCTTCAGCGTCAGGCTCTGGGGAAGGGCTGAGAGCAGGTAGTGCCCGTGCAGCCCGCAGCGGGTGGCCGCCTCCGTCTGGACCACCAGCACCAAGAATTCAGTCACTGTGGGAGCCAAACAAGTCAGGGGTCAGCACTGAGCTGCAACCCACCCCAGCCCTCCTCACCACCCCTGCACGTACGGTCCTGCCAGGACGAGTAGAGGGAGTTCTCCTCCATGGGGACAGCAGGGCTGGGCTGGGTCCTGGCACTGCTTGGCACTGTCTCTTTTGCACCCTGAAACAGCAAGGGGATGTGAGTATTACCTGGGATGGGGTAGGGGGGAAAGGACAAATCCCCTGCCTGCCCTGGAGCCTCCCAGCTTAGCCAGGCTGGTACCTGGAAGGCCAGCTGGCAGAGCTTGGTGATCCATTCGTCGCGCTGCTCGGCTGCCAGCACATAGCTCTTCTCGGTGGTGGTGAGGTAGAAGGCAGCAGTGGCTGTGGGGCAGCTCTCCGTGCCCGCCGGGCCCACGGAGACGCAGTCAGAGAGGCGGATCACCCGGCGGGCACACCTCTGCAGGGACATCTTCTCTGGGGCCGTGCCATCATCCCGCACATCGAACTTCTCCATGCGGGCCACGCCGGACGGGCTGGCAGCAAACAGCTGGGCTCGCATCTTCCTCCAGCACCTCTAATGCACGGGAAGGGCAAAGGCAGGGGAAAAACAGGTCAGCAAAGAGCTGGCTGCTGCATCTGGCAGCACTGCCCTCCATACAGGGCACGAGGGGCATAGGGGAGTCCTGGCCTGCACCCACCAGAAGCTGTTGGAGGGCACAGAGAACAGGGGCCAGCACAGAGCCCTGACTGTGGGGCAGGGCAGGCCCAAAGCTGGGCTGAGGGGGGCCTGGCCCCGAGCGGGCTTGGCATGGCTCACTGGGTGAGTCACACTCCCTCCTGGCTCCCTGAGCACCAGGTCCTGCTCTTTGTTCCCTGCTGCAAGTGCTGGCCTGCCGACCTGCAGCTGAGCTCTCAAGCTGTTCTCAGGACAGACCCTGATGCAAATTAAAGCCATTTTGAGCTGCAAAGGCTCCTGCTGACAGCCTCACATCTGCTGAGCAGCCTGCTTCCTCCCAGGGGAGCCTCTGCAGCACCAGCACCTTCCCAGTCTGTCATGGGATAGCGGGGGCGCGTGCCACCGTGAACCTCAAAAGTGCAGCAGAGCCTCCGCCCTGCAGGAACCAGATGCAGCCAAGCACCCAAAATACCCACCACCCCCAGCCCACCTGCCTGCTCCATGGCAGGGCACCAGCTCCCCACACACAGGGCTGCCTGCTGTGCTTCCAGGGCTTGGTCCTTGTTCAGCAGGGAGGTCCGAGTGCGATTGCAGCCTCACACATCCACTGAGACCCCCACAGGACACGGCCACCCTGCCGTGGCGTGAGCAGTGTGCCAGCAGGACCTACTTTGCCAACACCCAAGAGCCCCCTGGAGCTGGCCCGACCCCAGGTACTCTCACCGTGTCACCCATACCCTGTCCTGAGGGCTGTGGCACTCACTGTCCCCTCCAAGGGCACAGAGGAGCAGCCCAAGCCACAAGGGTGTCGCTGGATGGTGCTGGCCCCCAGGGCTGGGCCGATGGGGGGCACAGGGACACGTCCCACATGTCCCATGTCCCCAGGGCCCCACTCACACACACACACACGCTGGAGCTGCGCCATATTAACGCATGTTTATTCTTCCACTGAGAATCACATGGTGACCAAGCAAGAAGAACCCAACACACGGGCGAGCCAGAGCGGGTGCCCAACAGATGAGTCCCCTCAGCTCCATGGGAAAGCCCCACTTATGGAGCTGCTGAGCCCAGGGCTCCCCCAAGGACAGCTCCAATGGGTCTGGCTCCTTCCCAGGCCGCTGAGGGCCCAGCCCCAGGCCCGGCATCATGACAAATCAGGGCAAACCCTCTACCAACCCCAAATCCACCCTTTACCTTTCCAAATTTGGTGTGCTGAACATAAAGGATCCCATCCTTCACTGGTCTCTCCATGGGCCCAGCTCACCCTGGCAGCCAGGCAAGGATGAGGGACTCGGGCTACCCACAGCAGAGAAAATGTGACTGCTGCAGTCGAAGGAAAGGCATGGGGCAGACTTCCGTCTCAGAGAGACTTCCCCTTTTTGGGGTGTGGGATGGGGGGCAGAGGCTGGGCCACAGGAGGTGTCCATGTGCCCGCCCTCCCCCTCACAGCAGGGCACTGGGGCAGAACGCGGGGGCAGAGCACAGGAAGAACCTCGGGGAGCGCCTGACATGAGCACAGCACGCTCCACCTCACCCCGGCTGCATCCTCCAGCATGTCTGGGGGGACAGAACAGCCACCCAAGAATGCACAAATCCAAGTGAGCAACATGGGCCCAGAGAAACTGGGTGGATTTCTGAGGAGCAACACAAGACCCTGACCTCACCACTGCAGGGTCTGGCAGAGGCAGCAGACCAGTGCCCCACCTGGGGCTTTCTCTTGCCCTGAGGCACTGCCACCTGCTTGCCCAACACACTGCTGATGTCACGGGCTGTTTCAGCACAGCTCCGTACATTTCCTTCCTGGCCAGGAGCTTCATCAGGCTGAGCTGGCAACAGCTCCAGTGAACAAAATTCTGGAAAAGGGGCCACAGCAGTGCAAGACAGGCCCCTGGGCTGAAAGGAAACCCAGGCCCATCCAGGGGAGCACACTGTCCAGGCTAGAAGTCCATAGAGCTGTGGGCCAGGTAGTCCTTGCGGCCGATGTTGCTGACTTGCTTGGTCTGCATGGCCTCCAGCTTGGGGCAGTCGGTGATGCGATGGCCCAGGCCACCACAGAAGGCACAGCCCCGCTCACCTGCAATGGAGGGGTGGGGTCAGGGGCAGGACAGGGCCACGCCAGGGCAGCACAGTGCCACACCAGGACAGCAGCCCCCAGCCCAGAGCAAAGGGGCTACGCCAGTGTCTCCCCCGTGCTGTGGCACTGGGAGCTGCAGGTTTTGCAGCAGCCCCATGGGGTTCTCTGTGTCAGCCTGGGGTCTCTCACCATTGATGTCCAGCATGGTCTCGTCCCCACAGTGCAGCACCTGGAGCACAGGTGGCACCTTCTGCTTTGCCTCCAGGAGCAGGGCCTTCAGGTCCATCAGCACTGACTCGTCTGGGGGCAGAGACATGGGTCAGGCAATGCTTGCTCACAACACCCCCTTGGCACTGCCAGCTGCCTCCTCCAGCCCCCAGCCCCGTGCTGCTGCTCACCACAGGCCTTGTTGATGAAGGTGGTGGCGATGCCGGTGTTGCCCGAACGGCCGGTGCGCCCGATGCGGTGAACTGTGGAGACAGGACAGGATCAGCCCCGGTGAGCTCAGTGTGACAGACCATCCCTGCCCCAAGGCACTGCAGAGGCAGGCACAGAGCCTTGCTGGCCTCCAGCCCCTCCCACAGGGCCCAGTGCCTACCATAGTTCTCGATCTCCTCTGGCATGTCGTAGTTGATGACGTGCTGGATGGCTGGGAAGTCCAGGCCCTTGGAAGCCACGTCAGTGG